TGCAGAAGAAGAAGGAGAAGCAGCAGCATCAGCAGCTGGATCGTGACCCCCCCCATGTGCCAGGCCAGCCTTTAGAAAGGGGGGGGCGTCCCTCCTCTCACCTCATCCTCTTCCTCGCTGCTGGCCTGAGAGGGTCCGGAGCTCTTGTGGTCCTGGGGAGGGGAGCCGCCTCGACGCGCCGCCGGAGCCCCCCCTTCCTGCTCCGCCTCCCACTCCTGCAACACCTCCTCGAGGTTGAAGCGCCGCCGGTAGCTGACAAAGAAGGTCTTCACCTGGGCCACCGTCTTGTTGCTGATCACCTCGGCGATGGCCTGGAAGTCTTTGCCGTATTTGCGGATGGCTGCGCCGCCGGAGAGAAGCTAAACATTTAAACCAGATGTTGGAAAGTTTCTTTGAAAAAGAAATTAGTTGTGGTTATAAGCTCTAGGCTGCAAAAGCAGGTAAGTAGCTGTAACAGTTACAGGTTTTTTTAGAAATAACTCTTCATTTTCTGGTTTTTCAAAAGATAAATTACCATTTTCCAATCATCCACCCACTGGAGAAACCATTTAAATGGCCTATCTTTTGACTGGCAGATGGGACTCAACTACCCAAGGGTCTCCAAGGTGACATTTAGTCTCGCACTGTCAAAGAAAGGGAGAGCCTGTCTCCTTTTTTCTTCCCCCCCCCCAACCATCACTGCCCCCCCACTGCTTCCCATCTGCTCCCTTTCTCCTACCTCACGGCCCCACCTGACCACCCTTTCCTCCAGCTGGTCCTTGAAAGGCTCACCTTGCACGGCCAGCAGCTGTTCGTCGGTCGTCCAGCGGGAATTGAACTTGGTGTTGGTCTGCAAAAGAGGAGGGAAGGCGTGTTCTGCCAGCGGCCCCAAAAAGGAGGAATCGGATAGCCAGCGTCAGAAAAAAGAAGGGGGATCCTGTTGCGCCCATCTGCCTTCCCACTCCACACACCCTGTGGCTGGAGAGGACGTAGCACTCACCTCGGGTGGCCGAAGCTTATCTATTCCGCCTTCTAGCATCTGCTTCATGCTGCTGTTGATCTGCTTGATGCTTTGTACCTGAGAAGAAAAGACATGGAAGGCTCAGGAAACCCTGTTTCCTCCCACTTCCGTTCTTCATAACTTGGAATTTTAAAAGGTCGTCTCCCTCGGATCAACGTTTGCTGCTTCATGAAGCTTGGAGGAGAAGACAGCCACAGATCCAGGACTAATAGAAGAAAAGACTCCTTCATGTACCACCTAATTAAACTGTGGAACTCACAGCCACAAGATACGATTAGGGCTGTTCATGTGGATTCCAGATTTCAGACTTTGAAAGGGAATAGATCAATTCATTAGAGGTTTGGGACCTCTAATGGCTAGTAAAGTCAGGATGGCTATAACCCGCCTCTGGTATCCTAGGGAGTCTCCCTCTGTGTTTCAGTTCCCGCGAAACACAAGACAAGAGGGTATGGTTGGATTCACATCATACAGTGGTGCCTCGCTAAACAATTACCCCGCATGACAGTTTTTTCGCTAGACATTGACTTTTTGCAATCGCTATAGCGATTCGCAAAACAGTGATTCCTATAGGGGAATTTCGCCGGACAATGTTTGGTCTCTGCTTCGCAAACCGATTTTTGCTAGATGACAATTTGCTTTTCGCTAGACTGCGATTTCGCTAGACTGCTATTTCAGTGGAACGGATTATCATCATCTAGCAAGGCACCACTTATTGGCGAGCTTCCAAAAGCCGCCACCAGCCCGTGAACAAAATGCTGAACTAGGCAGACCTTTGACCCAATCCAGCAGGGCTTTAAACACGTTTCGAGTTCAGGTTCAGCCTTTTGGTGGTGGGGGGGAAAGAGAACAGGCTGGGGACATGCTACCTGGCGCTTGAGGGAAACCAGCTGAGAGTCGAGGTGGCGCAGCGTGAGGGCGGCCATGTCCGGGCTGGCCGACAGGCCGGTGATGTCCTCCTGGCTCAAGTACATGCCCTTGGGAGGACGCCGGCGGGCGCGGAGCGGATGATGGCGATATTGAGACAACTGCACTTCTTTCTTCACCGGCCCCGGCTTACTGTTGGGCGGTTTCTGGTAAGCAGGCTGCAGAGAAGAGAGAACTGAGCAAGGGACCCTTCACATCATCACAACCCTTACTGTCCCCGTGGCACTCTTTCCTACGCTTTCTCAATTTCCAACCTCCTGGGCTCTTAAGATCTGCCGCTCTCCTACCCGGTCTCCCTGACGTATCATCCTCCCAATACAGATAGCGTCCCAATAGCAGAAAATATGTGCCTCTTCAGACTTGGAAGGGTCTCGGGTCCCCTTCTCTTAAGAATCATTCCATGCTAGTATGAAACCTAGACATGTGACTCCTTTTTTTTCTCTTTTTAATGAGGACGGAGGTGTTTCAAGATGCTAAAATCTACAAGAGGTAAGGCAGGCAGGTAGGTAGGTATGACCCTTGGATCCTGCCCTGTTAGTGCACAGCACTATTCCGGGCAGTTGGCAGGATAATAATAATAATAATAAAACATCTAGAATAGAAATTCAAATCAAGTCATGAACCAAACGAAAACTTAATTACCATTAATAAGAGAAGAGGTGTATTCTCTAAATGTGAGAACGGGACATGGGGGGGGGGCGTATTAAGGACAGGCTGGTTGGCACAGAAAGGCTTTTCTGTAAAGAAAAATCTCCAGAAGCCTCTGAATGCTAGGAGGGAGGGGACCCGGCGCAGCTCCGCCGGCGGCTTTTTCCCAAGTGTAGGCGCCACTGCGAAGAAGGCCTGGCCCCTTGTGGCTCATTGCCTCCTTTGGTACCCATTTTCAGGTCTCTGAAACAAATTAGGGCCAGCGCTGATTCCAACTCCTTCCGTGATGAGCAAAACCATACATCGTGGTGTGGGAAGAAGCCCGTTGATCCTGACCTCGCCCTGCGTTCCTTATCCTCTTTCTAGACTCGCTGGTGAAGCCGTTCCCCCTTACCTCCTTTTTTGGATCCATGGCATCAAATTCCCCCTCACTAGCCTGCCGTCCTTCCTCCAGTTCATCATTACTGTAGGGGAAATGCAGCAGCTGTTAGAAGTGATTCTGCTCGCCCTAGGCGACCTTCCCTCTTCCACTGTCTTTTTTTTTTCCTGGTTTTCTCCTTATTTGTAGTGGCACCCTCCTCTCCCAGGAAGTATTAGAAAGCTGCCCTTACACCGATTCAGCCCCTCCATCATCTACCCCACTGTCGTCAACTCTGACTGGCAGAAGTGGCTTTTTTAGGGTTGCGGGCTGGAGCTACAGCTTTTCCCCAATTTCCCAGATCTTGGCAAATTAAATTTTCATGAAGTGTTCTTGAATGAATGAGCTGTTCCTAAGCATTGCTTTGAGCACAGCTTGGAATGAAGGGCCTCCGGGCACCGTGGTCGTGTTTTCCTGCTTCTTGGCTTAGCGACCCCCATCACTTCATGCGACCTCTTTGAAGGACATACGGTACCCCTCTGGCTGGTTCTTACTGGTGCCCCTCTCTCCTTTTTTGACGGACAATGGAAAGATTCCATAGCAAGGAAGGCTTTTGGAAACTGGCGGTTTCCTTCAACATCTCAGATCTGCAAAGCAGATGTTTGGTAAAGCAGCGGTCAGTCGTAGAACAGAGGTTCCGGACGACCTGGAGTTTTTAAGCCTCAGGCATAGCCACTGAGTTTTAGCATCCAGCATGCAAGGCAGCTGTTCCCGATAGATCATGATGTTCCCGGGATCCCAGCTGGCTATCCTGCACTTATGAAAATATCTGTGTGGCTGTTGAACAAAAGACACCTTGGGGAGCCCCTGCCACCGCAAAGGATCCAGTGACAGAGGATCTGGACCTGCCACTTCTGCTACAAACACTCTCCAAACAAACCAGCCTTTGCACATGGAGGCAGACGCTCTCCGTCTCTGACCTGTCGTCCTTTTCCTTCTTGGTGAGCAATTTGCGGGCTTGCCGATCCATCACGCTCGTCCTGCTCCGGGTTTTCTTCCAGGAGTAGTAATACTTTACCAAGCTGGGGATCAGTTTGTCAGGAAGCTGCAGAGAAGGAGGAGGCAAGAGCCAGCAGGGTGAGAGTAGAAAGGCGGCCCACGATTGAAAGAGTGAAGAGCACAAGGTAGATCTAACTAGGGTGGAATTGAGCCACAACAAGGAGGTGACGTGACTCAGGGCATGACGCCTGGGAGCTGGAGCGTGGCTTTGGGTTTTCTCAATACCCGCCGTGGGATACCAAACACGTTGATGAGAGAAATGGGGACCCTCGTCCAATGCTGTGCAGTTTGCTCCCCGCAAGAAAGAAAAAATGGAAAGTCATTACAAAGGTCCATTCAGATCCCATTCTTTGTGGGTTCCTCCTTGCACCATCCCAGAAGAGATGTATTTGCAGGAAGGTCAAAAAGTACAAATACACAAAATACCAATAAGTCTTAAAACGGGTGAGAGTATTTTTGTGTTTTGGTTGCTGCTGGAACAGACGAACACAGTGCCGTCTCTGAACATTTCTGTAGAGTCCCCTAAGACTTCATTTCCACCTCCCGCTCACCAACATTGTCGCTTCCATTGTCACTTTGAAATATTTGAAAGATAGTCAAACAAAGGAGGGGGAAAGAACCTGTCCTTGATCATCCCAGAGTGCAGGACACACGACAATGGGCTCAACTTCCAGGAAGCCAGGTTTCCGTTGAATATCAGGAAAAACTTCCCGACTGTTAGAGCAGTACAACGATGGGAACAGTTCACCCTGGGAAGTGGCAAGCACTCCAACACTGGAGGCATTCAAGAGAAAGCTGAACAGCCATCTGGCAGATCTGCTTTGATTTGGATTCCTGCATTGAGCTGGGGGGGGGCGGGACTGATTCTGTGGTCTTATAGGCCCTTCTAACTCTGTTATTCTATGATTTTTGTCATTGCTGATTCACAGAAATACAGTACAGTGGTGCCTCGCTTAACGAGCGCACCGTATAACGACAAAATTGCATAGCGATCCGTTTTTTCGGATCGCTAATGCGATCGCTCAACGTTTTTTTAATAGGGCAAAATTCGCTTTGCGAAGACCAGTAAGCGTTTTGCTTACCGATCTTCGCAAAACGAAGCCAGATGATCAGCTGTTCTGCGGCCAAAATGGCCGCCGGAAGCCCGGAAATGGCCCAAAATGGCCGCGCGCAGCGTTTTCGCGCCCTCGTTAAGCGAGGGGAGGGCGCGAAAATGGCTGCCGGCCATAGGGGAGCATCGCTGAACGGGGAGTATTCGGCCCATTTGGAACGCATTAAACCATGTTTAATGCGTTCCAATGGAATTCCCTGCCCCGTTCAACGATGCTTCAGCATAGCAAAGGTTAATCCGGAACGGATTAGCCTCGCTATGCGAGGCACCACTGTATAGAGAAACAAGTGATGGCAATGAGGAGAAGGAAGTCTGGGGCCAAAAAGCTCCAGAAGCCTTCCAGGACCAAACTAGCCTTGAACCCTTCCCTTAAGAAAACAAGCCCTCACGAGGGAAGAGAACAGGATTGTTCTTTGGGTTCGAACAGCAGCAGGAGCAGGAGGAGAGCAGACGGCACGTACCATCTGCTGGATCCGAGTGAAGCTCTTGCCATGGAAACTGAAGGCTTGCTCAAACAGAACTTTGTCTTCCACCGTCCACTCATCGGGGAACGGGGTGAAATTGGCCAGGTCAGCCAGAGACTTCTCCACGTCGTGTTTGTGCCACAGCAGCATCCCCAGAGCCTGCGGAGAAGAGAGGCAGAGGTGTAGGAAATGGACTGCCCCAATAATGGGAAAGTAGCCACAAGCAGAAAAAAACGCAGCTCCCGGAGATCAACAGGGATGATAACAGTCTTAAAAGTGAAGGCAAATGAGTTAGGTATGGCTAAGGAGAAGCCCGTTTTCAGCGTCATGACTGCCCCTTTGAATCTCTTTATTTCCCTGCTAAATTCCCATACAAAGCTCCATTGTTACCTGATTTCACTAAGAGAGAGGACCTATCGGAAGAGTGAGTCGTATTGTCTCCAGCAAGCTCTCGTGGCCTCGTAAATCAGACCAAACGGCCAATAAATCAAATCTGGTTTATCCGGCCAAATAAGGGTGCCTTAATTTGTGCAGAATTTATAGGATGCAGATCTCCTTGTTCGAGTAATGCTGAACGGACACAAAGGGAGGATGGGGGGGTGGGACTCACTGATCCATAGGGTCTTTTTCCAGCTCTGTAGTTCTGAGATTATTCTTGCGTGTTTTTTTTTCTGCTTTACCTGCTCAATGTTGTAGCCGTGCTTCTCCTTGGCCATGGCGATGTACTTGTCCACTAGAGGGAGAAAGAGGCAAAAACATCAGGTGCTACCGAGGGGTACCGCCAGAGGAAAGGTAGCTGACGCCTCCATTTCATCCCCTCCCTGGATGGCACGTATAAAAAAAACAACCCCTTTCCTCTCCCATGACATCCATAAACATTGGCAAGGCTCCTGGCACAAAGCCCAGGGGAGAGGATCCAAGCACGATCCACGCACACCCGGCCAGCCTGGCAATCCTGGCATCGTTTTAAGTCGCACTCTTAAGGCGAAGTATGTATCAAAGAATAAATGTTTGAAGATGATTCCTGGATAGCTCGGTGCTTTAGGGATCTGGCTGCGGAGCAAGAGGTTGGCAGGGAGGCCCGGTGATTAATAGGGTCCCTTCCCGCTCTGCAGTTAATTGAGATTATGATAATGGATAGCCAAACCCATGTTTGGGAAAGATGCCTGGGGTGGGGGGGGAGAGGATGGAGAGCAACCCCATGGGGGCATGGGACTGTTGTGTACGATGCACGCAAAGCAAACCATCACACTTTAAGGTCAGCTATCCCTTCCTTCCTCTAAAGGATACCTGGAGGGAACGATGGACCCCAGCTTCGGACCTGTCTTTGCTTCAGCGCAGGTAGCAGCAGTGTTTCCACCTGCTCTCCCACACACAAACACACACACACACGCCCCTCCCTAAGCTGCTGGCACCGGCCAGATTAATAACCCAGGAGCGAGAGGCAGCTCACCAGCCACCCGGTAATTGCTTCTAGGAGTCCCCGGAAGGGGGGAAAGGGGGGAGCTGTCAGTCAGCAGCTGGGTTGCCAGCCGAGGGTGGAATTGTGCTCCCCCACCCCAACCCCGTCTCTGAGCGAGAGGCTGGTTCCTGATTGCTTCTGGAAAATGGGGTTCAGGATTCAGATCCAGGAAAGAGGGGACGGCTGGGCTGGCCACCTCCGCAGGCTGAGAGGCTGGGGTTGGGCCCGACCCGGCCTTTCTGCCCTTCCTTCCCCACCACCGACGGGAGAAACTCACGTTTGGCGTCGGAGACACAGTGGTTTGGAGACCAGACCAGCATCCCTTTCAGCTCCTTGTTGCTGTAGCGGGATGAGCTCTCTGGATTGCAAAGAGGACAACGAGGGTCACAAGCAGGTTTCCCTTAAAGCGGCCCCGTTTTCACTGCCCGGCGTCCCTGACCTTGCCGACTCGTGGTGATCGGTGGTGCCAAAGGCCTCGGGGCTGGGCTGGCAACCTGGGGGTGCCAACGCCAGGGTGCCCCAAGAGTGGGTGAGACTAGAGGATCAGCAGGAAGGAACCCCAGGTGAAGTCCTGAATCTGCCCCATCTTGGACGAGGAGGCAAGCGAAGGCTGGCTGGGTGCTTTGCCCCCCTTTGGCCCTACTGGACCAGCCGCTGCTGTGCCTGCTACCTTGCAGGGGGGGGGCATCCGATAGAGGGATCCCGGCAGACACAAATCTGCTCTCCTTGAGGTCTGCCAACGGCCACTGCTTTTTTTAAAGCCGGGTGAGTTTCCAGCCGTCCTCACACCTCCTGGGTGATGATCTAACTTGTCACCCCACTAACCAACCCCCCCTGACTCCAGCACCATCCGTTTCTTCTTCAGGATCCACCACCACCTCCGATCTGCCCCTTTGGCAGAGCCCGCCCTGGACTGTGGGTCAGCATGTGGGGCCGAGAGGGCTTCCCTCCATCCCGGGCAGGTGGAGGCTGCAGGTCCCCGGAGGAGCAGAGGTGTGTTGCCAGGGAAGGAGGGGGGTCGGACTCGTGGGAGGCTCCAGGGCGGCAGCCCCAGCAAAGGGCAGCTGGAGGATCCGGCTTCTGCCAGGTGTGAGCGGAAGAAGAGGGAGGGCCAGGGAAGCCACCTGGCGCAAGGCGTGAGACACAACCTTCTCCCGCTGCCCCTCTTTGGGGGCAAACGGGCAGCTGGTGCTCGCCAACCCATCCGCCACAGGGTCACCGGTTTGTTGTTTAGCCCCGTCTCACAATCTGCACATGTCCTTCGTCCACATACACATACACAGGCACGCGCATTCCCGTTACCTGGTTTGCACTCTGGGATCACAGCCTGGTAATCCGCTCCCACACGGATCATGCTGTCTGCAACGGAACCAAAAAGGAAAAAAAAGAGAGAGAGAAAAAAAAGGATGGGTTGAAGGACCAGCCGCCGGGCGCTGCTTGTTCTGGTTATCAAAGGCCACGGAGAAGCGGGGTGGAAAACGAGTGGCTTGGCCGAGGAGACCAGAAGAGCAAGAGGGAAGGCGAGGCCGCCCGCCCCGTGGCCCTGGCCGTGCTCGGTGGCTTTGGGAAGACAGAGCATGAAGGAAGGGGTTGCGCCCCCCTGCCTCGGGTGCACCCTTGGGGTGAAAGGGGGGCAGGGGGTGTTTGGGGGCCCAGCGCAAGATTAGGAGACCCCTAAAGACAAGTGTTTGGGGTTGGGGCGGGGGGGAGCTCAAGTCCAAGCACTCTTGTCGGTCCTGATAACTTGGCCATGTTTGTTCTGCTTCAGAGATGACCCCTCCGAGATGCCTGTGTGTCTGCCAGCCTACAGCTGCCCTCCTGCTCCATCCCAAGGAAGGGGGGGTGATTTGGCAAAGCAGTCCCCCCACACGCACTCTCACACACACACTCTCCACTCAGCGAGCCGCTCTGATCCAAGGGTAGCTGCTTTACAGAGCTGAGCCAAGGAAGATCTCTCTCTCTCTCTCTAGGGGTGAGCACGCTGGAGTGCGCACTGCTGCCCCTGACGCCAAAGCCTCCCCTTTGGAGGGACAAGGCCCTTCGGGAAGCCTACGGGGGGGGGGAACCATCGAGAGCAACCCTCCAGTTACAGAGA